ACGGCAAAGAAAGGTGCTAAACAGAACAATTTGGGGAAATGCCTAGAAAATGTAACTATACACCATTCCTAGTATAGGTTTGCAACCCAAATTTATATTACCTAACTGTAGTCCTTCAAACCTCAAATTATGAGTTAGGTTTAAAGTCCAGTACTAATAGGAAGTGGTAAAGTGACACTGTATGACTTCTGATTCTTAGGTCAGAAAAGGCCATGGAACTTCTTTTATCTAACTTTCAGGAGATTCCCACTCAGAATGCAGCAGCCTTATTGGGTGAGTGTGATGGAGCCTACTTGTAATCCCAGCTACTTAGGAGGCTGAGGCAGGAGGATTCCAAGTTAAAGGCCAGCTTCAGTAACTTAGGGAGATTGGGTCTCAAAATTAAAAAAAAATAAAATAGGGGTAGGGCTATAGCTCAGTGGTAAAACACTTGCCTGGCATTCCTGTGGCCCAGGTTTCACTCTCCTATGTGACAAAAAATTAAAAATAAATTTAAAAACAAGAGAAAGGGCTGGGGATGTAGCCCTACCCAGGTTTGCTTTACACAAGGCTTTCTTACAAAGCAGGGCCCAAATCGGTCATAGTGGCACACCTGTAATTCCAATGGCTTCAGAGACTGGGACAGGAGGATCCCAAGTTCAAGGCTAGCCTCAGCAATTTCACAAGGTTCTAAGCAACTTAGTGAGACCCTGTTTCAAAATAAAAAATTTTAAAAATGGCTGGGATGTAGCTTCGTGGTAAACTGCCCCGGGGTTAGATCCCCAGTACCCCAAAATAAATAAATAAATACAAAGCAGGGCCCAACCAGGGCAGCTCTCACCTCACTGTGAGCAACAATAGAGCATGACTCTGTTCTGCTCCTTGTGAAAGCCAGGTAAGTGCTATAAACTCTGGGACTGGGGCTGTTCCATTCCATCTACGGCAAAAAACACTCTCTGTTGGTAGCCCTAGTTACTGATCACAGGAAATGAATAATATGAAATTTTATACACTTTCTTTTGGATTTTTTTGTTCCTTGAGTCATTCTCTCACAATGGGCATCAATTTCAAGGGCACACTGCCATGGCCTAACCAAATCTATATTAATTGTGTAACTATGAATTCTAAACCAAGAGGCATTAGACCTTTAGGTCACTTGCACATAGTTGGTTTTTTCCCCCCTTTATTTTATTTATTTTTATGTGGTGCTGAGGATCGAACCCAGTGCCCCATATGTGCTAGGCAAGCGCTTTACCACTGATCAACTACCCCAGCCCCGCACATAGCTTTTACTGTGGAATGGACTCAGGGTGCAGGGCAAATGCCTGCTGACCCTTTGTTTATTTTTTCAGCTGTAACCAGAAGTTCTGGTCCAGTTATAATAGATGAGAATGCCAACATCTTGTCTATTTTCAGCTTTATTGCAAATCTTGCATTTCATAGGGGTCATATTTCTACTCTTAGCATGTAAAATAAAAGCAATGTATGGTTCCAAAATAAATATCATTGTGTTTACCTCCCACCTCCACCCCATGGAAATATTTAAAAATGAAAAGATATGAATATGAAAAAATAATATTTCCTGCTTCTGGGTTGAGTATCATTAATATAAGACACATTTTTTAATTGTAAAGTTTTCTCTATCTTTTTTTTTTTTTTTTGGTACTGAGGATTGAACCCAGGGATGCTTAACCACTGAGCTACATCCCCAGCCCTTTTTAATATTTTATTTAGAGACAGGGTCTCATTGAATTACTTACAGCCTCACTCAGTTGCTAAGGCTGGCTTTGAAGTTGTGATCCTCCTGCCTCAGCCTCCTGAGCTACTGGGATTATAGGGGTACACCACTGCACCAGGCTGCAAAGGTTTTTTGTTTTTTCATTTTTTAAAATTGTTTTCTATAATCTGTGACTACTATTCTGCCTATTTTGTATATTAATAGTACTCATTTTTCTTGCATATTTATTTTTGTGTATTTATATAATCACTTAATATATGTTGATTGAATGCCTACTGTGAGCCAAATATTGGAAACACAGGACAAAGAAAATGAGATTCTTGCCTTTATGGGCCTATGTTTGAGGAGGGGTTAAAGCCATTGAAAGAATTTTATTATTTACCGTTCCTAGAGAGGGCGACAGGTTACATCATGAAGGAACATATGGGGAAGCACCAGGTTCTGTCAGGAGGCTGAAGAAGAAGCAATGGTTAAGCATGGTTCAGAGTTTTTGTGTTTTCCTTGGGGAAGCAGGGCAAGGGATACAGCTTAGCACTGCATAGTGTGAATAAATAATGTAAAGGGGGCTCTGGGCTATAGTGGTGGTCTCTAGTTGTCAAGTCTCGGCCCTCGACTGGTTTAGGGCATGAGAAATATTGGCTTGATATGTAACAGATAAAGGAGATATTAGGGGTATTAATTGAGGATTAGTTGGAAGATTTGCAATGTGATTTTTGTGCATCCTTGAAAGCGGATTTTGGAAGAGATAAAAATAATTTTGGTCATTAGTTTGGCCCTGTGATTAATGGATGCCAAAGACATAAATGTATCAATTAACAGAATGGGCCAGGTACAGTGCCACACACCTGTAATCCCAGTCACTCAGGAGGCTGAGGCAGGAAGATCACAATTCAAAGCCAGCCTCAGAAACTTAGAGAAACTCTGTCTCAAAATAAAAAATAAAAAGGAGTGGGACTGGGGGCTGGGGTTGTAGCTCAGTGGTAGAGCGCTTGCCTAGCATGTGGGAGGAACTGGGTTCAATTCTCAGCACCACATAAAAATAAATAAATAAAAATAAAGGTCCTCTGACAACTAAAAAATATATTTAAAAAAAAAAAAAAAAGGAGTGGAGATGTAGATTAGTGGTAAAGCACCCTTGGGCCCTGGGTTTAATCCTCAGTACAAAAAAAAAAAAAAAAAAGAAAGAAGACGCAGAGTTCAGGGATGGCCTTTCTGAGAAGCTATCATTTTTTGTAGGAGAGGTACTGGGCATTGAACTCAGGGACACTCAACCACTGAGCACATCCTCAGTCCTATTTTGTATTTTATGTAAAGACAAGGTCTTGGCACCTCTCTTTTGCTGAGACTTGCTTTGAACTTGTAATCCTATTTTTTTTCAGTTGTAGATGGACACAATACCTTTATTTTATTTATTTTTATATGGTGCTGATGATCAAACTCAGTGCCTCACATGTGCTAGGCAAGCGCTCTACTACTGAGCTACAACCCCAGCACTAGGAGCTGTTTTTTAAGGAAACCAATCATACAAAGAGGCAGGGGAAGGAAGGGGGAAAGATTTCTAGTAATTGCAGAATCCTTGGGGTAAAGGATTTGGAAGAAGCCAGAATGGAAGAAGCTTGGGGAGGTAGCCAGAGACCAGATCATGCAAGGCCTTATAGGCTTTCCCAGAAGGTAATTCTTTCCAAGGGCGTGAGATGATCAAGGGTGTGCGTGTGTGTGCGTGTGTGCGTGTGTGCGCGCGCGTGTGTGTGTGTGTGCGTGTGTGTGTTTTGATGATATTGGGGCTTGAGCCCAAGGGAATCTCTATCAGGAGCTACTACTGAGCCTTTTTGTTTTTTTCAGTTCTCATTTTTGAGATAAGGTCTCATTGAATTGCTGAGGCTGGCCTTGAACTTGAGATCCTCCTACCTCAGTCTCTGGAGTCGCTGGTATTATAGGCGTGTACCACCATGGCAGCTCAGGTTTTTATTTTTACATATCGTAGCTACTATGGCTGATGTGAGAAATGGATTGGGATGGGATTGGTGGATAAGACCAGAAGCTGGAGACCAGTCAGAAGACTGCCTCAGGTCATAAGAAGAGGTTACTTCTCTGAGGTCATCAGCAAGGTATGTTTTGAGAGGTCTTTCAGGCAATGGTCACAGAGGTGTACTGATTATTACACATCCACTATAACACAGTTGGCTGGTTGGGTACTCATAAATGTTATGTCCTTCGCTTGACATTTTCACCAGCTGAGCAAATCATATCATCAAACTCTGAAAATACAATATGTACATCAATTCAACACAACAAATAATTTTTGAGTACTAAATATGTGCAAGTCACGTGTTAAGATTTAGATATTCCCAGGTGTGGTGTCACACACCTTTAATCCCAGCAACCTAGGAGGCTGAGTCAGGAGGATTGTGAGTTCAAAGCCAGCCTCAGCAAAGACAAGGCACTAAGCAACTCAGTGAGCCCCTATCTCTAAATAAAATACAAAATAGGGCTGGGGATGTGGCTCAGTAGTCAAGTGCCCCGAAGTTCAATCCCTAGTACCAAAAAAAGAAAATGAAAGAAGGGGAATGAGGTAGAGAGCTTACCTAGCATGCCCAAAGCCCTGGGTTTAATCCCTAACACCACAAAAATCAGTAAATAAATCAAAATAGTAGAAGAAAGACAAACTCTGACCAATAATTACATTAATCCAGACATTTTCTCTACAATGAAGATGTAATTTCTGGGAGCCAGACTCAAGAATCGTCTCAAACACTACTTACCAATATATCAGAAAATGACTAGCACCAGGGGGAAATGTACTAAGAAAAGGAACCATACTGGGAGTGTAGTTCAGCTGTAGAGATCTTATCTAGCATGTTGTGAGACCATGGATTCTGTCCACAACATTGGAAAAAAAAAAAAAAAAAGATGAGGAAAGATAAAGGAAACTTACTAAATAAACCAGGCATAGCGGTACACACCTGTAATCCCAGCAACCTGAGACTAAAGCATAAGGACACAAGTTCCAGGCCAGGAACTTAGCAATTAGCAATTTAGCAAGACCCTCTCTCAAAATAAATAAATAAATAAATAAATAAAAAGGGCTGGGAATGTAGCTCAGAGGTAGAGTGGCCATGGGTTCAATTCCCAGTACCACAGGAGAAAAAGAAATGCAAAAGGCCAAAAAAGATGAATTTTTTAAAAAACTTGCCTAATAGAAGAAAAAATACAAATTAAAACCATGATTTAATACAATTTTTATCTATCAAATTAGCAAACATCTTTTTTTTTTTTTTTTCAGTGCTGAGGATCAAACCCAGGGCCTTGCGTGTTCTAGGTAAGTGCTATACCACCAAGGTACATCCCAGCCCTGGAAATTATTTTTTAAACTGTATACTCAGTGTTAGTTAAGACAAGACAAAGTAATGTATGTACTTGATATACGTTTCAAGAAAGAAATTAAATTGGTTCCTTCTGGTGTGTAATTTAGCAATTCACATAAAAAGACCTCGAAGTTACACGTGTTCTTTGACACAGAAATTTTAGGTGTTTATCTTTTTTTTTTTCTTTTTTCAGTGCTGAGGGTGTAACCCAGGGCATCATACATGCTAAACAAGTGCTCTACCACTGAGCCACATCCCCAGCCCCACTAGGCATTTATCTTAAGGAAATAATCATTGAAACCCCAAAAGATTTTGCCACAAGAATTATATAATGGAAAAACTAGAAGTGGCCTATATTTCCACAATTGGGCATTTAAGCCAAGGTATATTCACAGAATACTCTGCAACCATTAGAATGTCAAAAAGAAAGAAGAGTTTTAGGATGAGGGAATATATTTTCATTATTAAGTAAGAAAAAGTCATTTAAAAAAACATATTACTTGCATTTTTTATAAAAGCTTACTTGGGCTGAGGATGTAGCTCAGTAGTAGGATATTGGCCTAGCATGTGAGAATCCTTGAGTTCAATCCCCAGTACTGCCAGAAATAAAAATAAAAATTTTAAAAAGTAAATTTAAAAAATTTATTTGTGTATAACTTCAAGACTAAAAGAATTTACACCAAATTGTTACCCCTATTGATCTTAGGTGATACGATTCCAAACAATTTAAAGTTCCTCATTTGATCTTTGTATCTTCTAAATTTTCTCCAATAAGTGGGAGATAGAGCTCAGTGGAAGAGCACTTGTCTAAATTTTCTTCAGTATGCAAAAAAAAAAAATAGTACCAGAGATTTAAACCAGGGGTGCTTTATCACTGAGCTACATCTGCAGCCCTTTTTATTTTTTTTTCATTTTGAGACAAGGTCTCACTAAGTTGCTTAGGGCTCACTAAATTACTGAGACTGGCCTTGAACTTGCGATCCTCTTGCCTCAGCCTCCCAAGTCATAGGGATTACAGGCATGTGCTAGGCAAAATTACCATACCATACTTGGCCTGGCCAGGCAAAATTATTTTTAAAAGTTTTTGGAGTACCGAGGAGTGGTGACACACGCCTATAATCTCAGCAGCTAGGGAGACTGAAGCAAGAGGATCTTGAGTTCAAAGCCAGCCTCAACAAAAAGCAAAGTGCTAAGCAACTCAGTGAGACCCTGTCTCTAAATAAAAAACAAAATAGGGCTGGAGATGTGGCTCAGTGGTTGAGTGCCCCTGAGTTCAATCCCCAGTACCAAAAAATAAATAAATAAAGTGTTTGGAGTATTTTTTCTTAGTTACAAATCAAACTTATAAAGTCATTGGGTACTTTGTCAAGAAAAAGGTACGAAAGTCTCTACTCACCCTGATGTAGAAAGATCTAGGAAGTTCCTTTCGAGGTAGAGCTTAAGAATATCACAGGGGGCCACTTGGGAAGCTAAGGTCCCAGCCCAGTAGACCAGTGTCAAGAAAGGGATGTAGGGTAATACAGAGTTTGGGCAATTTAAGAAATTCTGAAGTATTTAGAAATTGATAGAATAAAAAAAACACACTGATCATAGGAATTTGGGGATGCTCTCTGATTTAAGAAAAGGAAACTCAGTGTTTGATTTTTAAAACATTGATACCAAAGATGACAGGACAAAGGGTTATTCCTGGTGCAAACCCTGAGTTCAACTAACCAGCCAAATTTTCTTTCTTTATTTTTATTTATTTATATTATTATTATTATTATTTTTGGTATGAGGGCACTTAACTCTTGAGCCACATCCCTAGCCCTTTTTATATTTTATTTAGAGACAGGATCTTGTTGAGTTGCTTAGGGCTTCACTAAATTGCTGAGGCTGGCTTTGAACTTGAGATCTTGCCTCAGCCTCCTGAGCTGCTGGTATTATGGGCATGGGCATGGGCATTGGCATGTGCCACTGGTGGCGCCCAGCTCTCAGATTTTCTTTAAACTTTAGTTTAATTAAATTTATTTTTCTACATTACATTGCTAAAATCTGAAAATGAGGTTATGTGCTTTACACCTAGGAGACTATTCATATATTTGACCAAGAGATCATACATTAAAAAATAGAGATTTAAAAAAAGATATGAGTAAAATCATACTTCAAATAGTGCCTATTTATGGGATGAACAAAGGACAGAGTGAAATAACACAGTTCATTTGGGGTCAAAAAAAATTTTCCTGGAACCAGGCACACACTTATAATCCCAGCAACTCAGGAGGCTAAGGCAGGTAGATTGTAAATTCTAAGCCAGCCTCAGAAATTTAGCGGAACCCTGTTTCAAAATAAAAAATAAAAAGGTGTAGTTCAGTAGTAAAACTTCCCTGGATTCAGTCCCCAGTACTGGGGCCTTCCCTAACCCTGCTAACTCTTCAAGCCATGTTTTACTAGGTATATATGCCTTGGGAAAAGAAAATGCATAATCATAATATTCATGCTCTGCCTGAGCCTCTGAGAGACCCTCACTGCTAATACGTCAGGACCTCTCCAGAAGTTGTCCTTTCCCAGGGTTCTCGTAGGCAGAATATCAAGGGTGGGGCCCATTCTAAGTACCCTCAGAACTATATCCACAGAGCGAACCTCTACCCAGAAAGTCAATTGGTCAAAAATTTCACACTCCGCATTTGAAGAAAAAAGTCTCTATTTATACCTAATTGTAATCAGCAACCAAATTCATTTGTACATCATGGAAAAGACATTCTGCATTTCCCAAAGAAATGCTTGAAGGAATCCACTCCTCAAAACTGAAATTGTTATTCTAAGAAGTTTCATGTCATACTTCCAAATGGATATTATGGGTATTGTTTTGTTTGGCAGGGTACACATTGCTCTAATTATATGGAAACAGTTCACCAAGGAAGCACACGGCAACCATCATGCAATCTGAGAGTAATTAACAGCTTCATTCTGTTGTCTAAACCACAGCTACCCAATAAAATATTAAAATTGTAAATAACATACTAGTAAATTTTATTAACTCTTCAAGCCATGTTTTACTAAGTATATATGCCTTGGGAAAAGAAAATGCATAATCATAATATTTTCAATTTCTCCAAACAAAAGGACTTCAAACAAAAGAAATGCTGAAAGACTTTACTTAGCATCTAGCTAAAAAAGCTGAACTGACTGTTTTTGTCTTAAGGAAACTGTGATGTATTAGACACCCAGCTTTGGGGGCAATGGAAACAAAATGTTAGTCAACTCTATTAATTTTGCTTTATTCATTCAAAACCAAAAGGACCCCAGCCTGTGAAAACAGAATCAGTCAAAAGTGATTCAACATTTGATTACTATTTAAGCCCACCTCGGGGGCTTTCTCCCTGAAGTGCTCTCACATTTTTTCCAGCTCTCTAGATACTTCTTATTCAACAAATATTTGTATTAAGGACCTTATATGTGTCAGGTAAGGGGATTCTTAGGGAACTTTTTTGATCCCTGAAATTGTCCTTGTGCAGTGCTGAGCAAAGAATCCAACAGAGCCCCAAAATGGGTCATGACAGAAAATTCTAATATTGCTATGGTAAGTTTCAGGCTGGCTGTCTCAGCCAATGATTCCATTAAGCCAAGCACTGAGGGTGAATAGGGCCAATCAAGTTGGCAATAAACTATTTAGAATGTAAAGCTAGAACCTAGACATTTCTGTCAAAGCCAGCCCTTGATAGGGGGACTGCATGCATTTACAGGCCACTAAACTTCACAAATGATCTGCACCATGCATTTGTGGGAGAATCAAAGACTGAAAAACACAATTCTGATGTGTCATGAGAGTTTGTAGTCAAGCTAGGAATTAAGAATTTTGGTGCTGCAAAGAACTTTGGGGATAAAGAGATCAAGGTACTATAGGACTAGAAAGTCTCTCATGCTCTCCAGATAGTCAATGCTGTGCATGGCTACCTCCTGCCCTGCTAATCACAGAAGCTTTGCTTGTACCAGAAAGGCTTTGTAAATTTTTTTTCTTTTTTGTAATTTATTTTTTAGTTGTAGGTGGACACACAATATCTTTTTTCATTTTTATGTGATGCTGAGGATCGAACCCAGTGCCTCACACGTGCTAGGCGAGCACTTTACCACTGAGCCACAACCCCAGCCCAGCTTTGTAAATGTTTATTTGAATTTTAAGTAAATTATTACATGTTATTCCATATACTAATTTCAAACAACACAAAAATGCATAGAGTAAAATGTCCCATTTGTCTTTGGTCCCTAGCCATCCAATTCCCTACCTCAGAAGCTACCTAATATTACAACTTTCTTACATATAATTGTGTAGATGAGGCATATCTGTTTGTGGAAAGAGATAGAGATATATACAAAAATCTGTTCCTTTATTTTCTCACCTATTTTTTGTTTTTGTTTTTGCTTCGTTTTTACTTTGGGTACTGGGGATTGAACACTGTTTTACCACTGAGCCACATCCCCAGCACTTTTTTGTTTTTGAGACAGAGTCTCACTAAGTTGTTTAGGACCTCGCTAAGTTGCTGAGGCTGGCCTTAAACTTGTAATCCTCCTACCTCAGTCTCCCAAATATTTTAGATTATAGGCATGTTTCACTGTTCCTGGCTTCCTAACTCTAATTCTCCTTTTCTTTTTTCCTCATTGGTTCTAAGGATTAGCTTCATGCATGCTAGACAAGCACTCTACAACCTCAGCCCTTTTATTATTTTATTTTGAGATAGCGTAAGTTTCCCAGGCTGGCCTCAAATTTTGATCCTTCTGCCTCAACCTCTTGAATTTTCAAGACTACAGATGTGTGCCAGCATGCCTGACAAGGTGTACTTTATATATTCTGAATATTAAACCTTTATTAAATATATGAATTGCAAATATTTTCTCCCATACTCTAGGTTGTCATTTCACTCCAAAGATTGTGTTTCTTTTAATGTACAAAAATTTCTAAATTTGATGTAGTCTCATTTGTTTATTTTTGCTTTGGTTGCCTGTGCTTTTGATGCCATATCTAAGAAATCACTGCCCTCCTTTAAGTCTTTGTTTATTTTGTGGTCTTGGGGATTTCAACCAGGGCTTCACATGTGAAAGGCCAAAGCTCTACCACTGAGCTAACTTCCATTCCCATATCTAAGTGTTTAATTCATTTTTAGTTATTTTTTTTTTGTATATGATGTAAGATAAGGATCTAACTTTTATTCTTTTTCATGTGACTATCCAGTTTTCCCAATAGCATTTGATTGAGAAACTGTCCCTTCCCCATTGAGTGTAGTGGTTTCCTTTCAATATAAACATTCTTGAGTCTGTTTCATTATAAAGACAAGCAAATAAGCTAGATGTTGTGGGTTCATGCCTGTAACCCCAGCAGTTTTGGAGGCTGAGGAAGAAGGATCAAAGGTTTGAGGCCAAACTGGGGAGTCTGGCACATGCCTGTAATTCCAGTAGCTGGGAAGGCTGAGGCAGGAGGATCACAAGTTCAAAGCCAGTCTCAGCAACTTAGCGATGTCTGTCTCTTGATAAAATATTGAAAAAGGAGTGTGGGGTATGGCTCACTGCTTAAGCTCCCCTGAGTTCAATCCCTAGTACCAAAAAAAAAAAAAAGTTTGAGGTCAGTTTCAGCAACTTCGCAAGATCCAACTTAGTGAGACCCTGTCTCAAAATAAAAAGTAAAAAGGGCTAGGGATGTGTCCCAGTGGTAAAGTGCACCATGTTCAAGCCTCAGAACCAAGAAATTAAAACAAAAAGCAAAAGCTTTCCTTTGTTTCTATTTCCCACTTGTATGAGTTATTTACTACTGTGTGTGTGATATACTATGCCAAAATTCCATGATTTAAAACAACAATCACTTATTTTCTCACAACTCTGCAATTTGGACAAAGACCCATACTTTGCTCTATGTGGCATCAGCTCAGCTGGCTTAACTGGAGGACTAAGAGGGTCTATTGGCAATTTAATACTGGCTGTCAACTGGGCCATGATCAGAGTCTCAGTTCTTTTCTACATGGCTTTTCCATGGGCTGCTTGGACTTCTTCCAACACTGTGGCTGTGTGCAAACATGAGTGTCCCAAGAGTAGACAGAACCAATATCTTAAAATTCTACCTTCTATAGTCAAAGAATTGAAAACTGATAGGAAATTTCAAAATTCTTCTAGCACATATAAATCCCACAATAGCATCTAAAGCATTTTCTGAGCTCATAAGGATAGGAACTACATGTGTCTTATTACTCACTGTTGTATTCCCAAAGATATCAGTTCTGGAACCCTCCAAGGTATACATAAAGCACTCTAAGAATGCTTGTTAAGTGAATGAGTGAATGAATGAGTTAAGAGATAACCGGTGGGCTGGGGTTGTGGCTCAACGGTAGAGCGCTCACCTCGCTTGTGTGAGACCCAGGTTCGATCCTCAGCACCACATAAAAATAAATAAACAAAAGAAAGATATTGTGCCCTTTATAACTAAAATAAATATTTAAAAAAAAGATAACTGGTATTAACTAATTTTTATACTTCTCTATAGTATAGGGACTATATCTTTTTGAGTTCAAATGTTTTAAAAAATATTTTTAGTTGTAGATGGACCCAATACCTTTATTTTTTTATATGGTTCTGAGGATCAAACCCAGTGCCTCATACATGCTAGGGAAGCACTTTACCGATGAGCTACAACCCCAGCCCTCAAATGATTTTATTATCAATAACATCTTGCTTATCTCTATCAAAGGCTCATTTCATCTTATTTCCTCCTTGGTAAAAATGACCAAAAACAATTTGTTAGGGGCCTCATTTTTTTTCTTTCATGATGGAAAAAAATGTATATTTAGATTTAGTCAGCTGGACTCAGTTTAGATGCTAACAAATTTGTCAGCAATATCCAAAGCATCATAATCAGAATCCAGTTGAACATATAACCCATTTTCTCCTGATCAGGGTATTGACTTGGCTACATCAGTGTCATAGAGCTTCCTAGTCTGTTTGAGCTGGTGTCTGGCCTTGACATCCACAATGAACACAAGTGTGTATTGTCTTATATATTCTTCATGGTGACAGAGTTCTCCTATTGTATCTTCTGAAGCTATCTGGGACCTACATGTCTTGGGTTGCTAGAAGGTAAATGATGTATAGATCTTCCCCTCCCCTCCTTTGAGACGGGGTCTTGCTAAGTTGCCTAGACTGGCTTTGAACTTAGATCCCCCTCCCACAACCCCCTAAGTATCTGGGATTACAGGTGTGTACCCTTCTGCTCAGCTATGGATCTTCTTGTGTGTGGCTGTAGACTCCTTTTAGCACTGCTTTCTTGGCTTTTAAAATTTTTGCTTTGGCTTTGGAGCTTCTGTCTTTGCTTTTGATGCCATCTTGGTGAAAAAAGCAGAGACTTTTAGTTTTTTTGAGACAAGGTCTTACTACATTGTCCTGGCTGGTCTCCAACTCCTGGACTCAAGCAATCCTCTGGTCTCAGTCTCCCAAGTAGCTGGGACTACAGTTTCACACCACCATACCAGGTTTGGAGCCTTGTTTTAACCTTCCAAATGTTTGAAGTAATTTGTAGACCCTCTTAAGTCTTCCCTTTTAGCAACTGAACGGTCCCAAATCTCTCTTTCTCTTTTTTTTTGAAGTACTGAATTGAACCCAAGGACAGTCTAATACGGAACACAATCTCAGCCCTTTTTATTTTTAATTTTTTTGATTCTTCACTTTAAAAAAATTATTTAATTAGTTATACATGACAGTAGAATGCATTTTGACACATTGTACCCTTTTTATTTTTTGTTGTAAGACAGAGTCTTACCTGGAATGGTGGCACATACCTGTAATCCCAGCAGCTCAGGAGGCTGAGGCAGGAGGATCAGGAGTTCAAAGCCAGGGCTGGGGATACATCTCAGTTGGTATACTGCTTGTCTTGCATGCATAAGGCCCTGGGTTCAATCCCCAGCACCAGAAAAAAAAAAAAAAAAGAGTTCAAAGCCAGCCTTAGCAATTTAGCAGGCCCTAAGCAACTCAGTGAGACCCTGTCTCTAAATAAAATGCAAAAAAAGGGCTGAGGATGTGGTTCATGATTAAGTGCCCCTGAGTTCAATCCCTGGTACAAAAATAAATAAATAAATAAGTGTCTCATTAAATTACCGTTGATGATCTTGAACTTACAATCCTTCTGTCTCAGCCATCCCAATAGATTAGATTACAGGCATCACCACTTCATCTGGCCAGTCTCAACTCTTAACTTCTTTCAAATATCAATTTAGTTCCTGTTTGATCATTCTGACCTCTCTGAGTTTTCAAAATCTTTCTTAAAATGCAAATTTTCCAATTGGTTCATGATGCTTTAGTTAGGATGAGACAGACATATTGAATATTGTAGAAGAACTATTGCTGAAGGACATCAGGTTTATGCATTCTCTCCTTAACACTTTCCTGTGATAGCTGATCAAGTATACTTTTTTTTTTTTTCCAGAGATGCCTTGGATTTGAGAAAAGACAACCAGAATTTACACCAGTACAAGATAATTGTAACAGGGTCTTCTTAGTGTTGCTGTGAGGTTGAAATTAACTAATGTTCATAGAAATCTTGAATCTCCACCTCCACCATTCTGGCTGAGTGGCTTTCAATTCATTCATTTATTTCATCCATTCAACACATAGTTTTTGAACCTACTCTATGCCAGGTACTGTGCTAGGTACTAAGGATAAAGTACTTAGCAAACAGACCCAGCCTCTGCTCTCATAGAATTTGTGTTCCAATTAACAAAAGGAATAAGTAAAATATACTCTCTTAAATAGTGATAAATACTAAGGAGAAAAATAAAAAACAAAAAGGAATGGGGCCAGGTGCCGTGACACAGGGATGTGGCTCAGAGATAGAGTGCCCCCAGGTTCAATTCCCAAAAAAGGGGAGGGGGGGAATAGGGAGTGTGGGGTGTAGGGATTACAGTTTTCAATAGATTTAATAGCCGGCATGGTGGTGCACACCTTAATCCCAGCAGCCCGGGAAGCTGAGGCAGGAGGATCACAAATTCAAAGCTAGCCTCAGCAATTTAGTGAGGCCCTAAACAACTCAGTGAGACCCTGTCTCTAAATAAAATACTAAAAGGGCTGGGAAAGTGGCTTAGTGGTTGAGTGCCCCTAGGTTAAATCCCCAGTACCCACCCCCCAAAAAACCCAATAGAGTCAATAACACTTTTTTTGGACTATGATATACTAGAAGGTGATAATTAAGTCAAAATCCTAAAGATGAAAAAAAAAATACTAAAGAGGCAAAGCAGTGAATTGTATGGATTTCTGTGGATAAAAGAGAATAGTGCAAAGGCCCTGAAGTGGTAAATGGCCCTGAGAAAGAGCAAGGAACTAGTGTGGCTGAAGAGAAGTGATTAGGAGACCAGAGCAGAATTCACAGGGGACAGCTTCCACCAGAGAGGAGGGAATGGGAGCTGGTCAGTGAGCTGTGACTCAATTAATTCATTTCTGACAATTATAACAGGATCTTCTTAAAGTTGCTGTGAGGTTTAAATAGACTAATGTACATAGAAAGTGCCTGGCGGAGACTAGGCCCTCAGCAGAAATGAGTTTAATTGTCTGCAAGTCTTTGAGACTGTTTTCCAAGTTGGGGAATTGAATTGGTTTTTCCTAATGGTTTGCTTTGAGTGATTAGAGAGATGTTTCTGTTCTGGAGCATCTTCATGGAACAAAACAAAAGCATGTGCCTAATGTCAATTAAAGTGTTAACCCACATACCAGAGATTTTTTTTAAGGTGTCAATGGACCTTTATTTTTATTCATTTACATGTGGTGCTGAGAATTGAACCCAGTGCCTCACACTTGTTAGGCAAACACGTTACCACTGAGCCACAACCCCAGCCCCAGAATTGTTTGTTTTTGTTTTTAATCTAAGAGATCCAAAATTACATACCCACCCATTGATGACTTAAAGAATGCTGTTGTGAGACCCTCTTTTAAAGGAAGCTGAAAATGAGGTGAGAGAGGAACAGTGACCCTAGGTCTCTGGGGAATGATAGACTGATTTAGTCAATTCCGCAGAATATTCAGTCAATGCATAAATCTGAAAGACTAAATTCTCTCTGATACATGCTGAATATCATGTCTAAAATAAGAGTTTCCAGTGATAGTACTGCCTAACCAACAGGCGTTTCTCTGCCTATTTATTTTTTGGAAGGTGGAGATTTTAGTTAAAGATAAGGGATAGAGGCATCCTGACCAATCAAGCAGCCAATCAAGAGACATTTGTTCAAGAACAAAGGTGAAAGAAAACCAATGGAGAGTAAGCTCCAGTTCCAGAATCCAGAGATGGAAATTGTTTTCATTTGCTTCCTCACAGAAGCCCTTGCTTTCTGGCCTCTAAGACAGTCTTGCTATTCTTGCAACAAATAGAAACCTAGGTGGATTAAACCTGGGCATGGTAGCACACGCCTGTAAGCCCAGCAGCTCAGGAGGCTGAGACAGGAGGATCAAGAATTCAAAGCCAGCTTCAGCAAAAGAGAGGCACTAAGCAACTCAGTGAGACCCTGTCTCTAAATAAAATACAAAATGGGGCTGGGGATGTGGCTCAGTGGTTGAGTGCCCCTGAGTTCAATCCCTGCTACCATACCAAAAAAAAAAAAGAAAAGAAAAAGAAAGAAATCTAGGTGGATTGAATTAATTATTTTTTCTATCTTGAATCCATCAATCACAGGCCTTTTAAATATTAATGGATCGGGCTAAGACAACCTCAGATTCTCTTAAGAGGTATCTAGGTAACACAGTTCAACTATATCATCAACTAGAACTAAGCTAAACACACACAAAACCTTAATGACAAAAGACTAGTTGTGTTAGGCTGCCGCAGTCTGGCTGGGCACAAATCACGAGCCACTGAAGCAGGAACAAACTTTATTTTTAAACTGCAGAAAAACACTTCACACAGCTCCCGGGGAATCCTCCCGAACGCCACGAGGCTTGTCCAGGAACCCCCAGCCGGAAATATCTCTCCCGGAAATCCCTCCTCCTGCACTTCCCCAACCAATGGGAACTCTCGGGGAATCCCCGGAAATCCCCACGAGAACTCCAAAATAGTGCGAGAACTCAAAAGTTGCGGCAGAGGCGGATAGTAATGCCTCGCCTGTCAATCAATACTGTTGGCAAAATGCCAGGGGCCATACAGACTCAGCCGTGGCTCTCAGCATCTCCCCCTTTTTGTTTAATTAAACAACAAGCAATGTGGCTTAGGGACCGTGCCTGTTAGGCAGTCCAATTCAACATATGGTCCTTACCCGTCATCGGATGAACTGACCTCTAGGCGTCAGCCTCCTGTCTTAGGTTGGTACCACTACAATTGGATCATACCCGTCACTGACTACCGGTCCAGCATATAGCCATACTTGTGGATAGGCCTTTGCACCAGTGGGGGGGTGAGGTTCTTTGCCTCACCTCTGTTGGCCCCCAAATTTTAGACCATCACTAGTAGAAGGGAGGAGGATACAAAATGCCATGACACTAAGCCAATTGAGGGCTCCTTTGAAAAATTGTACCACCGGTGACACCATCAGCAAAAATACTCCAGCACTACCACAATTCACTGTACCAACAGATAGTTCACAATGCATACAAGTGATACATAGTCCAGGCAAGGTCTGCAAGCAATTCAAAGCAGAGGAATCTGTTAATATGTCCATTTCCTCCCAAAGTAAATCGACTCCTTAATTGAGCATTACTTGTGGAGTTATTATTCATTGATGCATCAGTTTTTACAGTTTGTTGTGATAACTATCGAAGAAGCTGTAGTTTGGTTTTATCTTTGTCTTCACCGGCACTGGGATGAAGATAGGAATTCTGGCAATGATGCTAAGAAGAAAAAAATTATGTAACATTCCAACAGGCACTAAGAAAACAATTTTTTGAACAATTTACATTATCCTGAACAGAATTATTAAATATAATGAGAAGGAAAGGTGAAAGTAAACAAACAGATCTGTTAACCTCCTTATTTGTTCACATATTAAAACAATTTTCAACAGCTGTTTACCCAATCTAAATTAAACCATTAAAATCACGTGAATAAAAAAATTCGGATCCATTTATTCATGAGCGCTCCTCATATATGATATATGGACATACGCACATACAGACATACAACACAAAACAGAAGTGTGCACACATAACATACAACACTTAAGACAATAGTAAAGGCTTTGTAGCTTTACCTAGGTGAAATCTCCATTGCAATGCTTAAAAACTCCACAGTCAAAAAATAAAACTGATCAGAAAAACATTAACCTAGGTCTGTATGAGCTCAAAAATAAAATAGAACTTTATGATGTGGGAAAAGGCAAATAATAAAATAAATATTGAAAAAAGCATCCTGGTTAATCACTGTCGTAGATGTAAGAATAGCCAAACTGGAGTTCTGGATATCAGCTGTTATGGATTTGAGTCAAATCATCTTCCTTTTGGCCTGTAGAAATTGTTTTAGTTAATCTCTCTGGAATCCAAATCGGCTGCTGTTCTCCCTGTGGAAAAACACAAACAGAACCCCGACTCCAGACAATCACTGGGTCAGGACCTTTCCATTGTCCTGTTAGAATATCCTTCCAAAGTACCTTAGGCTTATGTACATTTTTTGGACACATATGCCTTTCCGCAGCACTAAGCCCTGAGGAATCCAAATTTAAAAAGTTTAGAGTAAAAAGGGTTATTTTAAGTTTATCTTTGGGTGACATATACCCCTTTCCAATTCCCTCTTTTTGCTTTAGTAAGTACATTTTAATAGTTTGATGAGCTCTTTCAACTATGCCTTGTCCCTGTGGATTGTATGGAATTCCTGTTATATGAGTAATGCCAAATGATGAGCAAAATTGTTTAAAAGAGGTAGAAGTATAACCAGGACCATTATCTGTTTTTAACTGTTTTGGAACGCCCACAGTGGCAAATTTTTGTAAGCAATGAGCTATAACATCTTTAGTTTTTTCTCCGGAATGAAGGGAGCCCATCAAAAATCCGGAAGAAGTATCAACTGTAACATGCAAATATTTTAATTTTCCAAATTGTGGCAAGTGTGTGACGTCCATCTGCCAAATATGGTTAGGTATCAGTCCTCTAGGATTGACTCCAAGATTAACTTGCGGTAAAAAGGTCACACAATTTTGACATTGTTTTATTATTTGTCTAGCTTGTTCCTTAGTTATTTTAAAATGCTTTTGTAAAGTATTAGCATTGACATGGAACCTATTATGAAAATGTGTAGCTTCTTCTAGTGTAGAGAAAATATGTATGTCATGTGTAGTTTTATCTGCTAAATCATTGCCCAAACTAAGGGCTCCAGGCAATCCTGTATGTGCTCTGATATGTCCTATAAAGAATGGATCTTTTCTGTCCCAGATTAGACTTTGTATAGGAGAAAACAGTAGAGGAAGGGGAAATCCTGCCAGCATCTTCAAGGGATACTATAGCATTAACTACATACTGACTATCAGAGAATAAATTAAATACAGAATCTTTAAACATCACAAAAGCTTGTAAAACTGCATTAAGCTCTACCTTTTGAGCTGATTGTTTGGGTACTAAAAATGTAAAAGTTTCATCAGGGGTAACTACTGCTGCTGTACCATTATTTGACCCATCAGTGAATACATTTGGAGCATTCATGATAGGGGTTTTTCTTGTCATTTTTGGAAAAACTACAGGATGCGAAGACCAAAAAGACAACAAAGGATTAGATGGTAAGTGATTATCAAATGAAACATTAGATTTACACATGATTATTGCCCAAGTATTTA